TTGGGATTTGGGATTTGGGATTAGGATTTGGGACGAATTTATTATATTTGGGATGGGATTTGGGCTTTGGGATTTGGAATTTGGGACAATTTTATTATGTTTGGAATTTGGGATTTGGGAGAGATTTTGAGATTTTTAGTTTTGCCAACATGTATAATAGAAGCAAATTGTCATAGTATTATAGCAATTTGCAAATGATACAGGCTTACAAATATTAGAACAAATACTTGAAGTTAGTCAAGAATCAGTATGTCACTTTACCGATTAGTTTTTAGAAACATTGCTTGATATAGAATAGGATCAAATTATGTGGCTAAAAGGTGCTTGATTAGCTGCAGTAACATATGAATTCAAATATGGTGAAACTAGTCTGAGAGATCATAAATTACCTAATGTCATTAGGGTTATAGATGGGTCATATATACCAATTCACTCTTCTAAAAATAGAGCTTGATTTGTAAATCATAAAAGTTTTTATTCAATTAATCTTCTTGGAATTGTTGATTTTTAGTAATATTTTACATATATATATGTAGGAGAAGCAGGTTTAATATATATATATTTTTTTATGTATATTATTTTATTAGACTAGATGCTAAAAAAAAGACTAAAAATAACAATTTTTTTAAATGTTTTTTTAGTAGTTATATTAATAAAATTTTGTAGTATAGCTCTTTAAAGTTTGCATTTTTTTATAATTTATTATAAGATTTATAATATATACAAAATTTAATTTTCTTAAAAATCTTTTTTTGTTATTTTCGACCTTTTTTCTAGCACCCAACCTATATATTTGTTTATTTATTTTATTGATTTTTAAATAAAATTTATTATAAAGGTAGCATTCATGATACCCATGTGTTTTATCACTCTTCACTTTATTGTGAAATTTTATTATACCCTGAACAATAGGTTCCTAGTAGTATATACATAATTGCTGATACTATATATTTTCTTAAAACTTATTTGATAAAAGAATTTGCTAATTATGAATCATTAAATCATTGTGAATGATATTTTAATAAAGTCCTTTCTTCAATAAGAATGGTTATTAAGTGAGCATTCAGACAATTAAAGAGATGATAGAGAATTCTGCTAAAGAAGATTTATTGTATAGATCTAGAATGTATTGTTAAAATTATCTATGCATATTGTATTCTATATAATCTGTATATTGATAATAAAGATTTGCTATCTTTATAAGATGTTGTAATTAAAGAAAATGATGTTGATAATATAGATATTGAAGACAATGAATTTGATAATAATACACTTATAGTTAATGAAAAAAGCAATAGAATTGCAGGCTCACAAAAAAAGAGATTATTTAGCAGATTATTTCTTTAATATTTTACAATTATAACAGAATTTATAATATACATTTAATTTTAAACAAATAAAAATTATAAAATATATTTTTATAATTTCATTAAAAGTTGTCAAAAGATTTCTATTTGCTCATTATGTTGCTTCTGCTGAACTTCAATAGTGTGCATATATTGATCCTTTATAGTTTTAATAATAGTTTCAGTTTGATCTTTAATGAGTATATAAAACTCTTCAATATTTTCTTTTTTGCTTTTGGATCATTTTTTTTTTTTGAATTCAATCTATAAAAAGAAATAGTAAACAAAAATAACAATAAATATCAATACCAATACTGTATAAATATATATATTGATATAATTTATATTTTACCTTATCATCACTATTATTTGTGATTTTTTGTAATTTGCGCTTTATTCTATTGATAGAATCACTTGTAATAGATGCTATAATGCTTGGGTCCTTTTTTAAATATTTGTTCATATCATTAAAAAATTTTTAATCATTCTGAACTGCTTTTTCACCAGTGCTCCCAATAGTGTTTTTTATATTATGATACTTTTGAAGAAGAGTATCATACTTTTGTTGAATTGAGGTTTTTGTACAATCCTTTAAGCTTGAACTTGCATCAGAAGAATTTTGTAAATTTGCAATAATATTATCCCAAATTCTATCTTTTTCTTGCAGATCTCTTACTTGTTGTAATGCATGCTGTTGCTTTCCAACTTCTTTAATAAGCAACTGAGTTTCTGATGATATCCATCTATTTGGTAATTTGTTAGCTAAAACAGTAAAAGCTGGACCGAACTTTGAGAGCTAGATACAGATTCCGCAGTTGTAGAAATAAATGAATTTTTCTGTTCATTATTTGTTAAAGAAAATTTCTAAAAAAAAAAAAAAAAAAAAAAAAAAAAAAATTAATTATATATTTTAATTTAATTTTTTTTTTACTAATTATTGATATTCAATACTTCATTATTTTCAACGTTGATTTTGGTTGAAGCCTAAGGCACTATAAGCTGCAAATACTGTTGCTGTAATAATATATGAATGTTTGTAAAATCTGTAAAAGAAGATGGTAGGACACTTGGTGCTGAAGTACATTTGTTTGTTGAGGTGTTGCTAACAAGGAAGGTACATATGTTTGTTGAGGTGTTGTTAACGAAGTTACGTTTGCTGGCTGGATAGTTGTCTTTTTTTTTTTGCTACGATTTGCTAAAGACATAATGATAGTGGAGTAACGATAGTGGAGTAAACAAGGATGGTCTGCTCAAGCAATGATCGCAATTCATTATTTGATCAATTGTAATAATTGAGCATGACCTCAATCACTATCAGATCACATTGAAGGAGTTGCTTGAGAACACCCTAAATCATATAATTTCTGTGTTCCTGATATAGGTGCTCTCAAGCACCTCAATCAATGAGTCAAAAAATGTGGAGAATAAATTTTACTTGATAGAAAATATTTAAAATTAATTAAGCGTGTTTATCATTACGATGAATAATGCGTAAATTAATAAAGTTTATTACGTAATATCCATATTTTATTAGTAAAAGACATTAAATGAATTTTTCATTTCAATCAACAAACTTTTTACAACAAACCACCTTTTTTTTATACCTGCATTTGAAAATTTTACGATCAATAGAGTATTCAAAGAGATCGCTCAAGCAACTTTGCCATAGATCATCATTTTTGACAGCAACGAATTATTATTTTACTTCTTGCATTAAAAGTTTTTATAAATCGAGAAGTCCAAGAAATAATATCAAATACTTACCATCTCTTAGCTTTCGCACAAATGGCAACAAATTCAACTATTCCGAGACTGCTCAAGTATTGACTTCAATAATTACTTTGATTGCTCGGAATAAATGAGCACCAGTACGATCACTCACTAATCATATTGAAATTGATGCTTGAGAAGATTTCAATTACGTCATAAATTGCATATTCAAATTTTCAGCAAAAATTTTTTGTAAATATAATTATGCTTGAGCACTATTACGATCAATTGCTAATCACATTGAGATTGACACTTGAGAACGACCTTAATCTTTTTATATAGATGATACCAAAGGAAAACCATGTTCCGTTTATATAAAATTTATACGATCGATGTCCATTTAAATTATTCTTATCACGTTGACATAGGTTGAAATAGTCTGTAAGTGCAAGTTGTAATGATACTTTATTCATTGGCATCGCTTTACTTATGATCTATTCATTTCTTATTTAATTTCTTTTTAAATAGTCATTTATCAAATATTAAACCAATTTATAATCGAAGTACTTAAGATGAACTAACCATTTTTTATTTAATTTGCATTAAATTAGTCTGTAATGATATTATTTTTATTGCTACACAAAGTTGATTTTTGTTTTGCATTATATGCCATTCGAAATTTCGGTCTTTATTAATCTAAGCTAATAAAAAGATTTTTCATGAAGCCAAAGTATTTTAATTTCTAAGTTTGAAAAGTCATTTTATTTGTTCAGATATTATATCATGATTTTAAATTCTTTAATTAATTTTCAAATCAGTTAAATCATAATGATAAGGTACTAATCCATTATCCATTTTAAATTCCGAAAATTAGTGAATTTAGATCGATTTTTACTGATTTGTTAATACAGATCATGAGATTAGGATGATGGCAATGTAATAAACTACTGATAATGGGCGTTCTCAAACGTCTTAGTCAATGGGTCAAAAAATGTCGGTGAATAAATTTTACTTAGCAGAAAATACTTTAAGCGGGCCAAATGTGTTTGTCATTGTGATGAATATTTAAATAATAGAAGTAATTTGATAAATTTATTGCGTGAATCCAATATTTTTTATTAGTAAAAAAACGTTAAGTGAGTTTGTTATTTTAATTTACAAACATTTTGCCGTAAACCATCTTTTTTATGTATCTGACTTGTCAAAATTTACAATTAATTGAGTATTCAAAAAGGTCATTCAAGTAACTTTGTTATCGGCTACGAATTATTTTTTTTATTATTACACCAAAAGTTTTTATGAGCAATAAAAAAATACCAGAAAGTCCAAAAAACAATATGGATTTTACCACTTTTGCCAGCAACAAATTTTACTATTTTGCCAATAATTTCTTAAATATCAATGAAGACCTAAACCTAGTGGTGACAACATTTGATAAATAATAAATCGCTCAAGTATCAATTGCAATTTTTATTTAGATTGATTATAATAAATTAACACTGTATTGAGAATAACGTTTGAGAAATGTTTGATTACATCATCATTTGCATATTCAATTTGTTATTATCAAAAATTTTATACATATATAATTATAGTTGTGCACTATTATGATCACTAGCTAATCATATCTGAATTGAGGTTTGAGAACACCCAATAATTATGTATTTTATCAATGATGATAATAATAATATAACAGGGTGAAATCCGCACTGTGAATTAGTAAAATCTATTACATAGATCACATAGTGGGGTGTTACATGCCAAATGATTTACGGTTCACATATATAATAAAATTAAATTGTTAGGATTTTATAATGGGAAATTTACAATCTCAGATAGATCTTTGCAACATTATATACTGATTTTAATTTTTTTTTTTTCAATACGCATTTATCGTATTTATCCTTATTCTTTTAACAATTTATTTTTTTTTTGAAAACTCTTTCAAAAATCTTTGGCGGTTGCCTCACCAAGCTTTTTCTCAGTCTTTTTAGTCATGTTACTCCGTCGCTCTTTTCGAACAGCTATTAAATCTTCACGAACCAACTTTACTTCCGTTTGCTTAGACTAGAGAAAAGTAATCTTGCTTCTTGTAATTTGTCGGCCATATTAGGGTGAGTTTTGATGTCGTATTTATTGAACATTCCTTCTGGTTGCTGTTGATAAACTATAATTGACCAAATTCTATATTTAACAAAGTCATATACCAAAGAAAATTTAGAAAGATCTTGTGAACTAGATATTGAGAAGATAAGGAATTGTTCTAAAAATTGTGGATCTCTTAGTGCATTAAATAAACCGAACGATTGAATATT